TATAATATATATATATGTAGATATATATATATATATATTATATTGTATGTGCATCAGTGCACCATGTGCAGAACTGTTTGTTATTGACTCTAAATTGTGCTATTGTCCTTGGAAACTTGCATATTTTAGCAGGGTTTAGTATCTAATGTAGATGAAGTATATCACATTTTAATTATTTTTCTGTTTTTTGCTTTGAAAATTCTGCACTGTGTGCAGTGTGTTCTACTTTTGACTATTGATTCATCCTTTTGTTGTTTGCATGATGTTCTGAACCCTGTCTTAATGTGTCTCTTGTAAAGGTCTTCCTTGAACTGTTCCAATGATATGTCCGGATTGGGTGCGCTTTCTATGTATTGGCCTTGGTCTAGTCAAAGACGCAGTTACTATTTTCTGTGGCTGGTGTTGTGTGGATTTAAGACTCGTTTGAACATATGTGTCATGTTTGTTAAAGAGTGGGACCTCCAGATTTAATTCATCGTCCTGTACGACGGAGTCGAGTCTGAAGATTTTGCTAGAACACTCCCCACATCACACAAGTTCCCTGATACCTCGACAGTGATGGTAATCCTGGCCGTTGGTAGGCATGCCATAATTTCTAACTCAATACCGACTGTGTATCTCTGGCCGAGACTTTATAGATATATAGATATTGGACATGACCTTGAAAGTAGGCCCCTCTTGGTGTGAGAACTGACGTTAATGAAAGGAACAAGCTCTGTAAACTTCCGATCTCCTGGCACTTGGAATTGTACAGATTGGCTGTTTCTTCTTCTGTTGATTTTGAACCGCGGAATGAACAATTTATCAAATTCGATTTCTTCTGTCATTACTTTGTTCTGTCACTTTTGATTCTTGCTTATAAAAACTCGAAATTTCTGTAATTTCAGGGAACTATAGATTGTGATTAGAATTTTGTATGAGATGTTTGTTGTTGATGTTTATTTCATTGAAATTTTACTATTGTGATGAATGGACGCTATTGTCCAAACTGAAATTTGTCTATGCTGATAGTTGATTATTGCATGCCCCTTGTGGGAGCTTGGTGGTTTTTGTTTCAACACCATCAAAGAGAAATGAAAGCTTAACATTTGAATAAATATATTTTGTTGTTGAAAAAGTCTTTTTTTCTTTGTTTATTCTCGTATTCTCTAAATAATTTCCATACGTAGATTTTTGCTAAAGTTGCTGAAAAAACAACTTAGCGGTTTCTAATATAATGTTGTAGTTTTTTTCATGTGCTTACAATAGTGCGATAGTTGTTTCATGTGCTTACAATAGTGCGATAGTTGTGAGTTTGATTCTTATGAAAGCAAGACCGTATTTCCAACATTTCTAGTTTTTGGAAAGGACGAAGTGTCGGCTGTTTAGGGTGGTCCTGTCAAGCAGTAGGGTCAACTTATGTCAGCACGGGCATGTTGTCGATAGCGATCCTGTTGTTGGCAGGGGATTGTTGTTGTGAGCGATCCTGTTGTTGGTAGGGGATTGTTGTTGTGAGCGATCCTGTTGTTGGCAGAGACGTAGAGCTATACAATTACTTATTATAAAAAACCCACACATTTTAGATTCACATCTCTGTCTGTCTGTCTGTTTTTTTCTGCTCTCTCTCACTCTCTCTGTCTCTCTCTCTCTCTCTCTCTCTCTCTCTCTCTC